TAGTGTGTGTGTGTGTGTGTGTGTGTGTGTGTGTGTGTGTGTGTGTGTGTATGCATATGTATGTATATATATATATGTATACATATATTAAATTGTGTCCAAGTATTTTAAAAAAAATTATATTAATCCAGATTAAAATTTACTTGAAGTTATGAAACTTAAAATTATTAAATAGACTTATATATAATAGTCTATAGTATATAAATACTTTGCATTACTATTTACATGTTTCTAGAAATACTTTAAAAACAATTATTTTATATTAAATACTTGCTATTAAATACTTCATATATGATGTTATATTGTCGGCAAGATTATTATTCTCATGATGCATTTTAAACTTGATATATGATGAAACAAATGTCGCTTTGCGTATAAAACCGTCATCATGAATGCATAATTAATTTATGAATGTTATCTTCCTAATTATTGAAAATCGCTTTTCATTTTGTAACTGCATTGAAATAGAACTTTCTATAGATTTAAAACTGACTTCATCACGGTCGTTAATGAGATAAGAATCTTGATAACAACAGTTTTGTTGAAGAATCATTCAAGTAATTTACAAACAATTATGATTATTATCCATTTTTTCCGCTTCTATTTATCAAGGTATGTGATAAAAATTGGATTCAACTTGGATTTTGAATCTCGACGATTGTTCGAAAATAAGTTATTTAGATGAAATTAATCTGTCTCGAGATTATACACGAAATTATTTATTTTTACTACTTTTTTAAATTTTTTATACACGTCGCAAAATTTATAGTTATTCTCTGATTTATTTTTCTCATTATCTCAAAATAACAAATAATTTCTTTACAAGATGAATATATTTTAGTATATAAAAAATTTTTATGTATATTTAGAATAAATAAATATAACTTTAGTTTTAGCTTATTTATTAACTAATAAGAGTTATTTGATATAATTTTATTATATCTTTTATTTCTAATTTTATTTCTATTATCTTTTATTTCTAAAGAAAGTCAAAAATTTAAGACAAAACATCACAAGGAATAATATAGAGATAATATTTTAAAGATTTTAAAACAAGATGCAAGCTTTCGATAAAAGCAAAAGACAATATAATTGAAAAATAATATAATTCCGTCGAATATTTATTAATAGTCCTTAAATGAAATAAATTTGAAAATAAATTCGTGACACTTTTAGTGATATTGAAATTTCTTTGTATACTAGAATCTATTTGTCATCAATGTAAGTCTTGAAAGAGAAATGGAGACAGAGAAATTCTTATTAAACAAATTCATTCCACCCTCTCGAATAAAGTAATGGCAAGTCGTCTCTCACTGACTTAATGCATTTCGCAACAAATTGCTCGAGTCTGTGTCCTTTGTAATCACGTAAATCATCATTATCTTAACTATTTCTATTCAACAACCGGTTGCGCTACGCCGGTTACGCCGAAGGGAAGGTTTTCGATTTTAGCGAATGTAACGCGGCAATGCTTCGGCGAAGAATCGCGCGAGCGTCGCTCGCTCGGACTTGAACAGTTCGGTCGGCTGCACACTCTGTGTCGTTACGCCGCGAGCATAAAGTTAATTAAAGTAATCCTCAGTTAATCGGCGTTGCTGGGAGCTTGGAGTCCGCACGCTCATTATGTCGCCTTTATAAACGCGAACGTGTGCCTGCCGCTCGGGACGATTAAAATTTGAAGCGGCGCGCACGCCATTTGCTCGAACGGAACGAGCCTGGTGAAAATATCGACCTCGTTCTTCAACCTCTTTTGACTTTTCCCTGCCGCTCCGAGCCAAAGGACGCGCGTCTATTTGCCTGTCCGCTCGTTAACGTTACACCCGGCTTCGTTATTCCGCATCGGGTGGTCAACAAAGCGTAACGTGGTAACAGTTCCGATCGCTAACAAAATTAAAATCTAAATTCTTTTATATCTCTATGATTTATGAAGGAAAAAAAAAGCAAAAACCGAAACCGAATCGGTGAACACTCTTTGTAGCGATCCAACAGTTTTGATCCGATTATAACACGATTTACGTGATCAAAAAAGATGCCTCCAATTTGAAGCCCATTCAAAATTCAAAATGCTCCAAATAGTTGCGGAACTTATTGGAGCTACTTTTTTTATTTTTTTCTTCCGTAATCTACGTATTATCGCTTGGTATATATATTTTTCTATATATTGTCGTGCGTTTGATGAGTGTATAAAGCGCTATGTCGAGATACAGGATGACACTCAAAGCTTGTATAACGATTTCGATGAAATATCGACGTTTCAATTCTCCGCGTTCCTTTAATCTCTTTTTTTTCACTTCAGTTTCGCTGATAAATCCATTTATCCGTCCCGAGCAGTCGGACATCCATTAAACGTCTTTTTTTTTTTTAACATAAAAGGATAGAAGATAATAAGAGCGAAGAAAGGGATACGTTCATTAGGTTTTTTGCATGGTGGCCGGCAGATAGGATTTTCACGATAGGATTTTATGGGGACCCGAAAAATAAGTGATGTCGAGAGAAAGATTTTCGTAGAGAGATTTACGCGGTCTCTTCTTCGCGCAAAGTAAAAGAGTACAGAAGCTCGATTTGATTAAATTCGCATCGATATGAATTTTGCTCCGGTCGGGGGTTTCAGGCGAGTCACGTTCGATTTCGCGGCGTTGTATCGCCGTAACGAGTGCGCTATACGTTGTATTATGCGGAATAAATCAGCGCCGATGCGGGATTATGTAAGACATTAATCTTTTCGCAACGCGCGATTTTTCACCCTCTTATTGATCTCCTGACAAGAGCAATGACTTTCGACGTTTCACGGGCCCGTGGACGGCTACGTGTTCGCGATGAAAAATTCATGAGGCGCTATGTAACGTGTATGTAACACGCTTGTGCCGTACATAAGACACGGTCCGCGGTAATCCCCGATTCATATCGACATTATGTCACGCGAATCATAATTGTTGCACTTACTGAAAGTATACGATTAAATTATTTATGGATATACTCTCGGCTGCTACGTGCTGTCGCGATGTCGTGGAGTTACGAATACTTTGCTCGAAAAACTAGAACTTCTAGAAACAATCGATATTTCGGCCGCGATTATCTGCCGCGTTTCATAAGCCAGCGTAACGAGATTGTTATTTGTTAGTTTTTACGGAATTTCGAGGGTGTAAAAGTTGAGATGAGAAACGAAGAGTTCGTTATTGCAGCGGAGTCACGTTCTCCATGACGTACATTCTTGTAAATTCTCGCGAATTACTCGGCGAGGGTTAATAAGTGCCAGCCATCCCTAACGGCACAGGAGTCTTATATTAAACCTATCTATTTATTTTTATCTTAACTATCTCATTTACCTCTGTTGAACAAATTGCTTATGCGCGCATTCTATCGTTCTATTTTTAGCACTTTATTTAATGCGCTTTATTTAGCTCTTTTAAAATCGATAAGCTAAAACAAATTTTTGATAAAGCTTTATGAGAAGTTGTTGATGCGTAAAGAATTTAGGATATTTATGCTTTTTCAAAAATGTGTTGGTTACTCTTTAATCGCGCCACAAAGGTCGATTTATTTACGAAGACACATCTGGAAATATAAATATTTCTTCAGTTGTGCAATTTTTCAAATAAAATACTGTACTGTTTATACTTTATTTGCTGTTTACCTTCTTGATAATGATGCGTTTATAATGAAAATTAATTGATAATACGTTATTAATTGTGAGAGAAGTAGTTAAGATTTTGATAATAATAATGAGTTAATTAATGCCGTTGATCATTATGATAATGGTCTTTATGTAGGTGAAGAAGCGTGAAATTTTGATTTGGAAAGCCGGTTTGCATCATCGAGAGAACTGGTTACAGGTTCGTTGTAAGCCTTTTCAGTGATGATAACGCAATGATAACTTACAAATGACTGATTTACTACCAGAATTGACAGTCATTAGAGTAAGCTGCTAAATGTTACGATATTAAGCCCGCGCGAACTCGCGCAACAGTATAGAGGATTAAGCAACAATCGTTGGCTGTGATGCGAATTAGCAAATGAATAGGTACAAATCAATCGCAAAATACATAACAACAAATTGGCAAACTCCGAATTAATCGACTTGTTCAATCCGCTTTAAGCAGCTTATCGTTCCGGATTTATAACGAGTTTAAAAATTACTCGATCTTCCCTGCAGCATTTTCTAAAGCTTCCGTATGACGTTCTGTATGACGCAAGAAAACTAGAATGCGCATTTGCTTTTGCTTGACTTCAATTTTTCGAATGTGAACGATAAGTGGTATTAAAAGTATAAGTTTAGTAGTATTAAAAGTATAAGTTGTATTAAAAAATAATAATTTTATACAATAAAGTTTAACAAAGCAAATCTGTCAAAGCTTGTGTTTGCAATTTTGTAACGATTGTAAAAAATAAGTAATATTATTGGTGAAATCTGTAATAAAAATTTCGAAATCTTGTATCAAACATGATGGAGTGGCGTGATATACAGAAGCGAGAGCAGCGTTATTCTCGCGATAATTTTCTCTTTTTTTTGCATTTTTTGCGTGACAAGCTCTACTAACTTTGCCTCTGCATTCTTCCTTGACTCGCTAATAGCGACGATTACGTGGTTCTCGACGCACACGCTTATGCATTAACCTTTCGTATATGGACGTGGTAATTAATCGAAGCGTGCAGCTAGTGCACAAATGGAAGTCGTGGGTATAACGTAATCTCTATGTAATGAGAAATCTTGTCGAGACTTCACTTTGTGTGAATAAAAATTGAAATATATATATATATATAATTATTGCCCCGAGCGTCAAAATATAATATCAATATTTTATCAATATTCGCAAATGTCAGCGGAATAAAAGCTAAAAGTGTTATGTGTGACGTCAATGGACATTGACGAAATGATCAAGTTACAAAAGTAGATAAAATTACATTGTTGATCGTTATTTGAGCTGCGCTCTAACAGAAGCAATCAATACATCCAGATGTGTACACCAACGAGAATTATATATAATAAATATATTAAAATTTCTTTAAATAAATTTTCGTAAAAATTTATTTGCGACGCGATGCTATCATATTCTAATTACTTTCACAGCTTAATAAACTTGAAAGGACTTACCTTACGAAGAGAATGATTTCGTAGTCAAAATGCACATCTATCCTCAGTTGTCCTGGCTGTTGTCATGGAAGCGACAGCAACTTAGTCGCAATTTAATTGCCGTCCTTCACTTTATTCATCTAACTGAGAGAGAGAGAGAGAGAGAGAGAGTCTGGCTACGGGAGTGATGAAGAAACGAAATGCGATGGGGAGAGCTAAAAGGGAACGGAGTGCGGTGAACAGAAGGAAAAGAGCTTAACTTTACTTCGGAACTTCGACGAGCAAGGCTATCCCGCGGGAAATCAATGTCTGACGGTTCAAAGAAGAAAGTCGAAGAGGACGAGGCAGTGATCGCGTGTATGAGTGGCTTGGTTTATATGTAATGGTTAATTTGATAACCAATTCGTGCTGGCTATCTCATCTCTCATCTCTCATCTCTGTTTCTTCCTCTTTAACTTCTTGCGAACTTTTTGTCCGTAGCTTTGCCGATTAAACTTCACGACGAGGAGGAGTTTGCGAGGCGCAGAGGATGCGGTACAAAGAAACACTACCAAGTAATTAAATAGGAGATCTGCATTTTACAAAGCAATAAGTTACACGAGAATCCTTACACGAAACCAAAGCCCCAATTCGAGTCGTGGCACGCATTTCTCTTTTATTCCTAATCATACTTTCCTTTTCTTTCTTTCCTTTCTATACAAATGTGAAACGTAATCGAGCCTGAAGGCAGTGGATCGCAAGGATAAAAAGCGCAATATGTGTCCTTTCCTATGTAGAAGATCGTTCCCGAGCTAATTCTGCGTGAGAAAATATACGCACAACATGTCTGCGTTGTCGAACAAAAGTATGAACGGCTTCCTGTGACGTCATATTGAAACCAAAATTTAGTTTCGATTTGTCGCTTCGCAAAGTTCACTGCGAAATTCCTGTTTACACTTTTCTAACAAAAAGATACACAATTTTGTTTTTTATGGTAAAAAAACGCTATTTCTGTTAAAAAACATTTTGGCCTTTGTTCGACAGCGCGATACGCGCAATTCTCGTTCGACATTCGTGTTTGCGAAGAAATGGCTCGAATTTCTGTGGAAGACTGGAAAGGGACGACGTCGTTGTCATCGACGATTTCACATAACGGACAGGATAATAGCACCGCGAATGCACGGCCAGATGCGGCGTGCAAATATTAGCCACGACATCGAGATTTTCAGGGAATTATACATAGTTAGCACCTAAAATGTTTATCATCGCTCGTAGAGAGTGGCCACGCGATTAATTAGCTTAGCTATCGTTACTTGGTAAGTTTGATTTCGTCAACGACTAGCTTCTGTGCTAGTTTCATTCGCCTTCGAAATGACTTTATTCCCTAGAATAGTAAAGAGAGAACGCTAACTCCTTCAGTAGTGTCATTCGAGTAGCACAAAATTGAAATCTATCGCGATTGCGAACTGTTACCACCCTTCGTAATCTTTGCCAGTCTTTCATCTCTTCAGACTTTGATCCCAGTCTGTCACTTTCGCATTCGGTCATACGTTAAATATCGGGCGGCTCACGTTATAACGTTCACGTTCTATTCGATGTTTCGGATCCGCGAAAGTCCATCCATGATCTGATTCATTGATCCCGATTCAGTCGTGCCTTCGCCATTTTGATCGGACTCGAGGTCCGATGACGGCTCGGATCAATCACTAAAAGAAAAAGATTTTTTTTATAATTAAATCGTACAATGATAAAACAATTCTTTATGAATATAACGGACAAATGTGAACGTGTTTGTAAATCATGTTTGAAATGTATATTTAGCCTACATTTTGAATACATTTTATGTTGAATACATATATTACCTGTCACTATTCTCGCTGGTAGCTTCCTCGCTGCAGTCCAAGTCAAGTTCCCCTTGAATAGCACTCTGTAAATCGTCGATTCTTTGAAGCGCCAATCTGAGGTCGTCTCTAGCCACTTTAGTCTCAGCCTCCGCGGCTTCCAAAGATTTCTCTATGTCACGACGAGCACGTAGAGCTTCTTGCTCTCGCGATATCGCCGCACTAGCTTCGTCGCGAGCGTCGCGCAAAGATCGTTGCAGCCGCCTTGCCGTGTCCTGAGCGGTCTGCTCTTTCGTTCTGAGTAAGGCTGATTCTGTCTGTAACTTGTCGACGCTTTCCTTCAACCGCGCTATTTGCGTCTGCAAGAACAGAGACGAGATAAATTGTTAGCAATGATTTAAGGATCTTTTGGAGAAGATTCATATAGGAAAGTTTTTGTTCAATATTTGATTGATTATTAGATTTATCTAGTAAGTTCTTGTACAATTTCTATCAAATCAAATTACTCATTCAATTAGTTTTGTGAAAAGGGGAATTGTTATATTTCAACAATACCTCCAATCGCGCTCTCGTAGTTTGTTCCAGTTCGAGCTTGCTTTCGAGCTCCTTGGCACGGAACTCTAGGCGTCTCGTGGCAAGACTGTTTGCCGTTGGGTCACCAAGTTGCTCCACTGATTCTAATCGTTGCGTTAATTCCGCAAGTTGGTCCTTCAATGACGACTTCTCTGCCTCGAGTGCAGCAATTTGCACTTGTGCTTCTTGCAGTTGGCCTTGTTCCGCAGAAACTTGTTGCACTGCGGCACGATACTTCTTTAAAACCTGCAAGGGAACGAAAGCCGCTTTATAAAATTATTTAACCTCTAATTTTAAAGAGTGAAGGAGCTAAGTTTAAAACTTTGTGTAAACCATTGCGTACTTTTTGGATACTAGTAATCGCATAGAAGTAACGTACCTCGGCAAGTTCCTCCTCATTTTCTTCCAACTGAGATAGCAACTCTGAGCGTTCACGATTGGCCGCATTAGCTCGCTCCTCCGCCTCGGAACGTTGCCGCATAGCTTCTTCCAGAGTTGCTTGCGTTTCATTTAGCTCCTGTTCCAACGCCTGTTTTGCTTTAATCGCTACTGCTCGAGCGCACTCCGCGTCTTCCAATTGATTTTTCAATTGACGCAGCGCGGCTTTACCCGTCGAATCGCCTTTGGATCTTTCGAGCATTGTTTGCGCATCCCTGAGTAATGCCTTTGTTCTCTTCAAGTCTCTCTTCAATCTGTTCAACAATAAATAGTAAATTTTAATTTTTAGTTCTCATTACTGAAAATAATCTTCAATATAACGGAATAAAATATAAGAAAGAATAAATATAGTATTTTGATAATCACCTCTGCATGGTCTCAGCTTCCGCCGCACGATCGGCTCGATCTTGTTCTTCTAGAGCTACTAAACGGCGTTCCAATTCATGCTTTTCTCTTAGAAGAATCGTCCTTTCCTCATGTTCATTTTCCAATTGCGACTCGAGAGCTTTGACTTTCTTGTGCGCATTCCCACGAACGTCCTCCAACTCTTCATCGCGTTGCTGCATTTCTTTACGCATCTCTTTGCGCTGCTGCTCGATGCTCATTTCCAACCTAAGCTTCGCCTGTTCAAGCAACTGCACTTGACCGGCCAGATCGTCCAACTCTTCCTCTTGGTCCTTCGCGCGTTTCTCCAGCTCGTGCTTCGCTTTCTTCAGTTGCGCAACTTCCTCTTCCGTTTTACCGCCGAAAGTGAGCTCTTCTAGCTCTTGAGTCAACGTGCGAAGTCTTTCCTCCTTTAGCTCAATTTCTAATCTTGCGTCCTGTTATAATAATATACTCATATGTACACAATATTGTATTCAACTTTCTTAAGTTGGGAAAATGAGAGGAGGAAAAATGTACTCACGCTCAGATTTTGTTCCACTGTGAATTTTTCCGCGATCGCAATCTCCTTTTCTCTTGCTAATCTTTCACGCTGTGCTTTCTCTTGTCTAAGATCATTCATCAGGTTCTGGGTCTCCGAATCAAATCTAAGTGCAATTATTAGGATAATAAGCAATTTTGCTTATTATACAACAAATTTTATATGTCGTTAAAATTTACACATATAAAAAACTTAATACATCATTTCGCATTTATATGTCCTTAAAAATAGATAAATAGACGTATTAAAAATTTTTTTTAATAATATCCTGCGAGAGAAACAAATTTTTGCATTTGTGCGATATACGAGAATCTATTAAAACTAAGAAACTAACTTGTGTTCGAATCTATCGTAAATTAATTATCGAAATGTATTGGGAAGTGAATAACCAGAGAAGAGATTTTGGGAGCAAATCCAATTTCGCTGTTGTAACGAGATCGGTTTTAACCGCCAGCGAGCGCATGCTGCATTTAGATTAACAGGAAGCTATCTTCGCGAACGGTCAATCGTGATTTACAGGCACACCGGACGCGTCGCCGAACGCGCTGGCATTAGGTGGCGTCACCGGCCTGGCGAGGTGCCAGAGACACTTGTTGCCGCAAGTGAAATGAGAATAGAGCGAGCTACCATCCGATACCGACTGGTCAACCATTACTCTGTGGATTAAATGCGCGAGTGTCTCTCTCTCTCGGAACGTGACAGAGCGCACAATTTGCGCGAGGCTTGTAATTCCGCTCGCTACGCCACTACGAGACTCACTTGCGTTGCTTCTTTTCGAGAAGATTGTTTCTAGCGGTCTGTTCCTCCAAGAGCAATCTGAGATCGTGCATCTCGCCGTTCAATTTCTGGACTCGTCGTTTCCACTGTCCGACAACTTGTCGTTGTTCCTCCACCTCTTCGTAGGCATCGGCCAACTGCTCGCCAAAGAGATTATGATGAAGACGATGTTCGTCCACAGGAATAACTTTACATACCTTCTTTTCTAACTGCTTTTTCAGTCCGACCAATTGCTCCAGATCGTCCTCGTGCTGCTGTGCCATTTTCCTCTTCGTGAACTCGAGTTCCCGGATAGCGTGCTCGTATCGTTGCCTATAAACACCACCGTCCTCGCCCTCCTCGCCGTCGGAAGCGACCCCGTTCAAATCTGCAGCTCTCGCGTAGAGCAATTCCATCTCCAGCCGTTCGGTCGTCTGCTGAAGATTCTTGTTAGCCTCGGTTACATCCTGCAGCTCTCGCTCAAGTCGCAATCTTTCCGAAGTCTCAGCGTCGATCCTCTCCGCCGCCAGCGTCGACGTAGAATGCTCCTCCGCGAAGTCCGCGGTCATCTCGCTCAGCTGGAACAGAAAAATTCATATTATATGATATACATCATATCATATAAAGAAACCGAATACGGTTTCATGCTATACGCGAACCACGGATCAACATTACGCCTCACTACTACTATTTCCTGCATTCTGCGTTTTTCAGTCTTAAATATATTTCTAAATCGAAATAAAGTAGACTAAAGGTAGTTTATACATGGAAATTCCTTTTACTGTAGTCTTCGAGTTTTTACGAATTGCAAAGGCATTGTTTCTTGCTGCTCTGAGTTACCTCCTGCATTCCGTCCGAAGTGCGGTCCTCCGAGGCGCGAGACAAGGAGCGCCTTGAGGGGCTCTTCCCTATGCTGCTCGATCTGCTATAATATTGATAACCACGTATCATAATATTCGTAGCGCTTTGACTTCTTCCGACCACACCGCGATGTTTATCTCGCGCAAACTGCGGCAAACTGATCGGTTCGTCGTCCAAGTCGTCCTTATGACCAAGGCTCCGCCATTCATCCATGATATGATCGGTTCGTTTCAAAAACTGGGAGATCTTCGACGTGAGATACGACGAGGCGGTACATGGTTCTAAATGGGAGGCGGTGGGTCTGAAGGATTGTTTCACCCTTTGCCGTTCGCATCCCAAGACGAAGTTGAGACTCGCGTCGAAGACAACCGGCGCCTGTTCCTTGACGACAACATCTTCCACCGACGGCGTGCTCTCACGAGGGTACGTCCTTCGCGGTGGAGTCGAGAAGGTCGGTGATCCCAATTGGGACGAGCGACTGCGCGAAGAGAGGACGGATGGCGATCTCACTCCGGCGGATAAAGATCTTGCGCGATAGGAAACGCTGGAGGAGACACTGCACGGGGAAGGACTTCGTATCGTGTGATTCGCACTACCGACATATCCCCTGTTAGATGATCTCTTCTGATGATTATAATGCGGCGGCAAAGGTGGTCTTTTTGCCAGACCCTTCGCGGAATTGGGCAAGCTCGATAAGCCATTGCTCATCGAGTCGTTTCTTTCGAGCATTTCGTCCGAGCTAGTGGTCATTAATGCGTTGTTCAGATGTCGATTATCTCTCCCGTGGGAGGGGGAAGGGGTATTCGGGTACCTCGTCGGCACGGAGGGCATCTTGATGAATATATCGATGAGATCGCAGAGATGCCAAAGTCGACTCAAGAATATCGGTTCGATGTATGATATTAATCCGAATCATGAAAGCGAGCGGTGAATTGAATGAACTTCCGGAACTGATATCGTCGCGGATGACATTTTAAGTAGCTTTCTTTTATAGCTTCATTCGTGCCGGATTTTAATAGCCAAGATGCCGGGAACTCGTTACATTACTACGACGAGTTGCATAACACCGGACGACGAGGAGAACACCCGTGTCGACGAGGAGTCGCGGTGCAACTGCCTCTTCCTGGGTCGGCCGATCCGCCGGCGGAGGTGTCCGGTGGAGGAGGCGGTCACCTCCGAGTTATTCTAAGGGGAAGGCGGCGAGAAAGAGAGAACCGACGAGAGATGAAGGCGAGGAGTAACGTGCGAGGAGACGGTGATTCTGGCTATTCGCCAGATTCACCGTGGATTTTACGAGAAAAATATCGCGCGAGAAGGACGGAGAACGTAACACTAACGTTTCAATGGAAAATCTAGAAACTATGTGTTTGCATTTAATAAAAATAGAACGGAGAACTGAAGAGACGGAAGGAAAAATCGCCGCGTCGTAAAATAGGGGAGCCTAATCTCGCTGACGCGGAAGAAAAATTATGCAAGATTTATTCGTCGTTTACAACTGTTTTTGCCGAAAAAAAACGCGTTGATTGCCTGCATTTTTCATGTATTAGCTGCTGGATAAAAATTGTAATATAACACACGGTAGTGGGCGAATCACGATAATAGTTGCGCACGCTCGACACGAGCCGTCTGGCTTAATGCTTAACCCAATTGCGCGGCGTGCGTGCCGCGAATGCCTAATCGGGCAGTTTGAGCTTAATGCATCCTTCGAGACTGCCTCTATTAGGTTCATCAATGTGGTCACACGCGAAATCGTTGTGGGGAGCGCAAAGCGGAGAGGCGCAATTTGCGGGACAGGTCTCGAATAACGGAGCCGTTTAAGCCGTTTGAGGATATTTTCATTATCGCGAAAAGAGATTTTTACGTAATCATAATTAAAAATGAATATTCGCAATCTTGGACAATCTCGCTGCGTTAACTTACCTTCGCTTCCAGTTTGTCGTTGTCATGCTTCAGATGATTACGTTCCTGTTCCAAGCGTTCCACTTTTGCCCTGAGAAGCTCGAGCTCTTCCTATTGGAATATAAAAAAAAAAACAAAATGTATTGAGATTAATGATATGGAGGTTGTATGGATCGCGTGAAAAGTATTTTTCTTCTCTCACCGTTCGTGCCTTTAGCTGATCCTCGGTCCGATGAACATTCAACAAGGGCGCGACTTTTACGTACAATCTCCACCAAGGCCATTCTCGCACGGACATTAGTTTCCTCACGTTCCTCTGAATGCATCGCACCGCTAGATCTTGCAGCTGAAGATTTAATTTATAATTTAATCCGGTTGTCATTATAGAGATTGTTGTTAAAGCGACGTTAATTATTACTAAAGAAAGCGTAGACAACGCGATAATATCCAGCGCGTTCTTTCTTCCTTTAGTTGCCAGATTAAAAATCCGAAGATCTCTGATTTGCGGATTTGCCGCAAATCCTTTGTAAGATTTAAAGCCATTAGTGCGAATGAGATTGCAATTTTTAAGCGCGAGCTGCGATTTCTGTATCTTAATCGAGTAAAACGAGGGAAAGTGTTTGTTTGCAGTTTCTTGTGCGCGACTAAAAACTTTCTTTTTAAATTCTAACACGGCGGCCTGTTTCAATTCGAGAAGATAATAAGCGACCTACTTTCAAAGTGTTGAGTTTGCGTCGCGCCAGATAGCCTCTGCATCTCGCCTGCAGAAGAATAATGTGGCCTGTGAGCTTCTCGTCCCTCTGAGCTTCCAATCGTTCCAGAGTGCCTGATCTGAAGAATATCTGCAAAAAGAAGTAAACGTCCGTCTGTTTATTCGTCGATTAATGTCAACTGTTACGTTAACACGTAACGCCTCCATTCTATTCATTAAGTTGTAATTAAACGTGTTTGCCTGTTTATACGTATGTGCGATAAGAAAAACCGCACCTTACATTCGAGTTCAAGGGCGGCGGTAAATGTTAAAATATGCGTGGCATAGTTTTCAGCTACTTTCATCTCGTACGATAATGAACATGATGAACACATATAACTTCTAGAGCGTAAAGACGACCATGCACTATGCACCATGATATCTCGATTGCATTAGAGAGGATATGCTTTTACATAATACTATGCAACCGATATAATAGGTATTATTAACAGTTACGTTGACAAAATCACTCTCAGTTTTATACATATATCGCGTTATGAATTATTAAATTAATTTACATTTTTTGAGAAAACTTTAATTGTTTAAATATAGATAGCGATAGTTACTTTATGCGTACATAATTAAAACATCAAAGAGAGAAGACTTAATTCGTAATTCTGTCGGATCTCTTAGCATTATTATTATCATCTCGATTACAATAACATGAAATTGCGCATTGTTTAAATGCGCATTGTATAAATAATATTTCATACATTTTCAGACACGCTTAATGCCCAACGTGTCCCAATTATTTAATCAACTTTCTAATTACCGAACTCTATCGATATTAACAATCGTATGAAATAACGAATCAACAAACCTCTCGTTCATTTTCCGAACATTTGTCATTGATGTGAGAACAATCGATGTTACTATGGTCGCAAGTTGTTAAACATTTAACGACAATATTCTTCTTTTCTGGCTTCTCGGTCAGTCTGCAAACGAGAGTCGTAGAGTCGAAAAGCTTCACCTCGTCGTCTCGATCGAGTCTGTTGAAGTATTGCTGTTCCTTGAAGTCGCTCGTCTCTCTCTGACTTTGATTCTCTATAGTTTCCTTCCATTCCACCTCATTCTCGTTGCTTATGTGGCCGCTGTCCTCCGAACAGTTTCCATCCGATGCGTATCCGCTGTACTCATTCGCGTTTTTGGACTCCTTTTTCAACGCAGGCGTTTCGATAACGGAAACATCCGCGGCTCTCGGCTTGATCGCAGCTTCCCGTGGGGATTCCTTGGAGGCTTCGGCATTTTTGCAATTGAAGAAGTTCACCAAATGTTCGATATCCTTGGCCCTCTTACCGACGCATTGCTTCCTCTTTGTCTCCTGCGCGCCATCGACAACGTCGTTCTCATTTCGAACTGCCTTCGACAAGCTGACGCTTTTCCCGGAATTTGCAATGTAGATTGCTTTTTCGTCAGAATCCTGACTACCTCTAGTATGCCTCTCCCAATTGCGTCTCAACTCCTGAATGGAAGTCTCTTTGTTTCTCTTCGACTCTTCAACAACTTCTTCCGGCTTTTCGCAGTTCTTTATTCGGTCAGACTTAAATTCTTTTACAATATATTCTTTTTTTTTAAATCTTCTTCCGGTTTTGTATTTTTGTCCAAAATCATCATCTTCCTCCTTTTCGAATCTTCGTTAATTCTTGAGTTTTCTTTCTTGTCATCTCCAGAGTTAAAGTTCTCTATAGTTATATTAGTTCCGCTATCATGCAAGGCCTCTCGATCCTCGTAGACAACTTCCGTTCTACGTGGAGGAGCGACATCCACGATGGCCAGAGGTACAATCGTCTCTTTGGGTTCCAAGTCATTCTCTAGCTGTGCCATTAATCGCGCGGCTCTCTCTTCCAGATTACTCGTCGATGTCGAGATCTTCGAGGTACCCAGCTTCGAGACACGGTCGAGGGTCTCGCGACAATTCTCGTAGATACGCTCGTCCGATACGGCGTCGAGATCGAGCTCGAAGCTAATCATCTGGCCAACTGGCTCTCCGACACGATCTACTTGCGATAGATCGGCGAGAGATCGGCCGAGACCGGTAGATCGAGCCGCAGGAAGCGGTATCTTGCTCGGCCTGGAGACCGGGTTTAGCCTCGCGGGCGCACCGTAAGACTTCCTGCATTGATTGTAATCCACTTTCGGCGTCTGAACGTTCCATAGACTGGTTGATCTGTTCATGAGCGTCAGACTTTTTCGCGACGGTTCCGTCTTCCTTCCCTTCTCCACGGATCTCCTATCAAACGTCATTGGAATCCATCGTGGTGACGTCGCGGGATTTTGATTGTCCGTGGACACGGAATTTAAACTGACCGAACGATCCAGGGTGCCCTTTCGTTGTAGGGTCTCAGGCTTCGCCGGCATCTTATCCGGCGTGTAAGTGAGACCCTTCTTTAGCAACGCTCTGTCTTCCAATATCGTGCAGGAGGGAGACGAGCTGACTGACTTGCAGACCTTCTTCTTGTCGCTGTTGCGTGCAGGGGATAAGACAGTTTTTGCCACATCCGGTCGGGTCTCGCTCGGGGATCGTTTCGTAAGCTTCGAAGGCGAGATAACTCGGGACTTTGAGGGATCCGTATTGTTAGAGGCACGACGTGACGAGTTGGTGACCACGTCGCTAGTCATTTTGATAGATATCTTCGAAGTTATCGGCGACTTTGCAGAACGGGACGATTTGATCGAAGCGATTGTGGGACTGATCGTGTGGTTTGATTGATTCTGCTTTTTGGTGGGTGATAGTGACGCTTTTGACACATTCGGACTGCTTTTGGCCTTAACTAAAGGCGAACCACCGCCGACCGCGTACTTAGGTACGGTATCGAACATGATGAAAAGCCTAAGATCAGATTTAGTGAAGGAAAGAACAACTTGCTACAGCAGAGAAAATGAACTTTTAATATCTGCTATAGTCTCGTTATTACATGACATTTGTAATTATTATCAATAAATTATTTCATTCTATTGCATTGTAATTCATGAATGTTTCTAAATCAGTTTTCTGCTATATTGAAGAATTAATAACAGAAAGTAATTAAATTTAAACAGCACATTTTAGTACATCTTGTTAATTAAAATTGATTAAAAGCTTTTACAGCTTCGTCATATTGCACTTTTTCCACATTAATAAAAGTACCTTAATTATTCTCAGCTCTAATACATTTCATTAAAATTTAAAAATGATTGGAAAAAAATATGCACTTCTTGAAATTATCACAGTACTATATTTTTAATTATATATCGATAAAGTTTAATCTTAAAGCCACCAGTTTTGATTCAACCGGTTTTGTATTAACCACTTTAAAGTCAATCATATTTTTTGAAACTTTTGATTTTACTAAATACCATACAACTTAATAAAACGAAAATAAATTGCAATAAAACAAAGTACATTAGCCCTCAGAGAAAATTGTTTATGAGTCCAACTATGAACTAATAAATGAAAGATTTCTTATGGACGGACCACTTGTTTATAAGCAATCACTTCTTGTCATTTTACATTTATTATTGTCACCTCTGTAGTATTATATTATATATTATGTTCACCTCTGCTCCAAAGTTTTTTGCAATCTCTTTTCAAACAGTTCGTTATCTCGCGTAAATTTTTTTACATACGAATAATGTGAATTTGTACACGTATGAATATGATAAGTCGCCGCACTTTCGCAGATTTATCGAAATGTCGGATTTAATTATAAAACAGCATAAAAATCTAGAAAATAGATGCTGTATTTAACCACACGTAAGGGGATCGACTTTAAAAGTGATATTAAATTTTACGGTTTTATCAATAATGTTAGATCATTTGCCATTTGTCACCACTTCGAGATCGCACCTTCGATCGCACTGACACTAACTGAAATCGCGATAATTCTCGCACTTGCAGACTTTGCGGAATGAATGATCGTTGGAGGAGGGCTTTTTCTCTTCTCTGCCGCACAGAACGAGCCGCGACTAAGTGCCGTAAAAGAGCCGCGTAAAAGTGTACACGCATCCGAATGCGAGGGCAGAAGTGAGGAAGCGAAAGAGAGAACGGGCAGACGACACAGAAGGAAGGGATGAAGGAGTGAGGGAAATAAGGGGGAGAGGATCGAGGGACTAGCGAGGGGGGAAAGGGGCAGGTTATCTTGAAGCCGGTTGAACGCATCGGCCTGCAACTCTCAACTGGCAGGAAGATACAGCCAGTTAATGCTCGGGTTTGCCAGCTTATCATTTTCATTGAAGGGATACATCGTGTCTTTTTGCTCCGATAAACTCTGAGACGCGACAAGCGGACCGGAAGCGAGTAACAGCGAGAAAGATTCTCTTAATGTTTTGATATATCGAAAGGCTTTTTAGGTAAACGGCCTCAATGAGATTAGACGACGGAAGGAAAAAGGTTTCGTGTTGCGCCATATGCTTCAAAAGACAGATGATCATGTGGTGAAATGAATACATTAAAACTTGAAATTTCTGAAATTTTCTGAAACTCGAGAGAATTTCCAATAACGTATAATATATAAATATATAAAATATATAAATTTATAAATATATAAAATTGCTTATTTTTCACATTAGTCTTTTAATTATTATATTATCACACAAACATCCTTATAGACGAAGCAGTCCTGTTTTAATTAATCAGAAAATTGTTTTAACTCATGAGACTTGTCAGATGCTTTGTTAAAATTCAATTTTCTTCATTTGCTACACCGGTAGATTACATGTATTATGACAAAATAAATAGATCGTCGAGGAATGCTAATAAATGCAGAAACCGCGCGTTAAATGTGCTGTAACTTGGTTAATTAAACGCGCAATAGGGATATTGTGCAAAGTACATTTGGCAATTCTGGCCGCGTCTTCCTTCTGTTAATTACACGACGGGACGACGCGTCTCGAGATAAAACACCCGTTAAGCGAATGTCTGTGCTAAAGCAGAAGCGAAACGTTGAGGTTCTCTCTTAATCATTGCGCCCGCTGCTTTAAAAGAAATACCGCGAAACACGGCTTGCAATGCATACTTCGTTTAATTTCGAGGGAGACGATATTTTCTGCGTCGAGATAAAGTAAACCGTTACACGAATATACGCCAATCAGTGTACGGAATACGGAAACGGTGTATCAAGGATTCTTTTAGATCTCTTATTCTGGTAGAGAGGATCTTATTATATGCGAAATAAATTACGTCGACCGCATCTTCTCGCCTCTCTTTCATCTCTCGAATCGAAACACGGTCGCTTTGTATTGAGATAAAAAGCTTATTCACAACTGAGCTCGCTGATTAGCAATAGATGACTAAAGCATATGATACTTCGCATATGATACTTCGATTGTAGCTGACCAGATGTGGGAATGACATATAGCCGGCAGTATATTCACAATTTAGAATTATAAAAGAAATGTATAATTTATTACGAGTACAAATGTTTGCTTTTATTTTATTTTATTTTTTTTTATGTAATAATATACCTCTTGTATGTATAAAAAGAGTTAATTGAAAAGTGGAAAATCGAGAGAATATTACCAAGCCATAAATATTGACGGGTCAACACGCCCACTCTTTAAGCAGTTACGTTCGAATAAAGCGAAGACTAAAACCGCAAAGTAAAGACCATCGATCCTCGCGCGAGTCAATTCTACTACTTTCCTGTAACGATCGTTCAGGATCGTAATACCGGCGTCTCCATCGTTCGGCAATGAGAAAGCACTCAAGCGGCTCGGTGCTTTACTTCCAAGCCGATGACGTTTACCGTTATTGAAGCTAACAGGTACCGGTGGCTATAGACTTTCTCTCTCTCTCTCTCCTCATCACTTTTTCTCTTTCTTTTCTCTCTCTCTCTCTCGTCTACACTTCTCTCTCTCTCTCTCTCTCTCTCTCTCTCTCTCTCTCTATTTCTTCCTCTCGCGAGTTAATTAAGAAATCGACGACTTTCTCTCTTTTTCTCTCTCTCCTTTCTTCCCTCGATTATAGAACCCTCGCTTGTGAAGCACAAAACGAATGTGCCTCCTTGCCTCGCGCCACGCCGACCTTCGTGAATTTTTACCGGATTTATAATGAACCGTTTTGTATTCGCAGCGAAATAAAGGAGAATTCCTCTAAAGTACCGTTCCTTTGAGAAATAATTTATTAAAAGAAGAAGTATAAAATTTGCAATTAATTTTGAGTAGATTCAATAGATAGTTTTATTATTTCCGGTACCGAAAGTTCAATGACTCGAATAAAGCGAATTGTGCGTCAACAAGATGAATATTATATATATATTTAAAGATATTTGTGCCGCATTTTACATTCTCATACAAAATGGCACGTACGAATTTGTTATCAGCACCTTTTTTTCTTCGAGTTTCTCCTAAACAATCGATTATTTAACACACATTTTCGCCAATCACTTTCGGGAACGACGACAGAAAATTAATTCAGATTTTAATCGTGTACTCGCACTCAGAAACGCGTATGCGCACAATTCGCGAACAATTCTGGAGCAATCCGCGCAAAAAGCGACCCCTTCGTTCGCGCTCGCTGCGCAATGTCAAGGCCGAAGGATTATCGTCGCCCGATGACGTCTCGAACTCGACCGAGACCAACCACGAACTGAGAAGTGCAGAAGTGGTCGCACAATCCTCGCATCATCCGAAAGCTCGTTCCGCATCAGGTGCGCGTCCCTCCATTTCGTTCCCCACCATGCAGGTGGTGTGTCACCAACACACATGCAGATCTCGCGCATTCGACCATGTATCTGGTCCCCTGCTGCCTACCAACCGACGAATCGGCACATTCGTATCGCGAGATATCGCGCATAAATCTCTAGGTGTTATTTTGTCGGAAGAGGAGAGCGAGGAAGACACGATGCGTACTAAATTGCCCGATTAATCAAAAATCGTTCGATTACACGAATAATGAATAGCGATGACTCTCTAATGTCCGATATTCCGATTATGCGTCTTCGACTCTCCAACTTTCGACTCCGAATTACCTCATTGCCATGATAATCTTTGCGGAAATTGTTATATAGTCTCGTTTGGCTGTGAGAGAGGTACGGTATCGAGAAAATTTCATAGACTTGGAAGTGCAAATTTCATAGACTTGGAAAGGGATCGAAGATTTGGATAGGTGGACCTTGAATGGAACATCAGAGTACTGCCAAGTGGATCGAGGACCGGTTCGAACCGGTAGCCCCCGTCCCCTCTCTCTCTCTCTCTCTCTCTCTTTCTCTCGTTTTCTTATCTATCCGAATAAGGCATTTGGCGATTTCCATTTGACCCGTCTGTTTTTTGCCTTTCGGTCCGCTTCATCTCCAACCGTACGACGAGACGCAATAGAGATTCAGGTAAAATGATAACTCATGAGAGAATATACGCACGAGGTGCACACGTGAGGATTTACGGTTTATACGAGAAATCCGGGAAACTGCCGGCTCGGCTTGCATCGGTCTCGCAAATTTTTCGAGCGTATTGCGGAAACGGGGACGCGGGGCCGTTCGCCTCGAACACGTAGAAAAGGCATCCCTGCAACTCCGCCGTGCGTTCGTCGGATCGATAGATCTCCACGGGGGGATGGCCGCCGCGAAGAAATTCGAAGCAGACGCGCGGCGCGTCCGGCGTTGGAAAGCGGCCGGCGAGAATGTCCGCTGGCCTACTGACGAACGGGAGAAAGGAGAGACGAGAGACGACGAGAGACGGGAGCCACATAAGAAGAGAAAAGAGCTCTGGCCGCGTTACGAAATCGCGAACTTCTTTCCGAGACCACTAGACGATTCCACACGTTTCGTTTAATGGGACAGGCCGCGACGTCTGCGCTCGATTGTTCGTTTCGTCGTAAAATTTATCGCTTCTTTCTCGTCGGGTAGTCTTATCAGGCCCATTCTACGAGTAACGTCTCGTTATTTACGTTCGTTTATAAGAATGAAATAAGTATATTGGGCTTATAAAATATCCCGCGAACGTTTTCGCCTGGAGCATAGAGAGTAAAGAAGAAAGTAAAAAAGAACTCGTTTCGTGCATTATGCTCGCACGTCTGATTTCATTTCTCGATTTCGTGATTTTCTTAATCGGCAATTATTTCTTAGAAAGTAGAAGAGTATATTTATCCTTGTTTTGGAAAAATTTCGATAAAAACAATCCGAGAAGTCTTCGCACTTGTGCGGCATTTAATTTAATTGCAAACCTATTGACCTAATAATTCCATCATGAATATACATATATCATCTTTAATTCTAATATCTTATCACGCCATTGGGAAAGTAGATGATAATTAGAAAATTATGCTGTAAAACACTTATGCGCATACGCACGCGGAAAGTGAAAAAGAAACCCGCTCCGCGTCGTATTATTTATGTATCCACGTCCGATTTCATCGTAATATAATTTTCTTAACGAGCGGTTAATAGTCTCTTAGAAAGTAGAGAACGAGAGATCCAGATCTGTCTCGTATAAAGACGCCTGTAAACGCGAGTCTTATCGGAAAGACAATTAACGGCTGGATACCGGCGGTGCCGCTGTCTCGCAATCGCGGCTTCTCAGGAGCCGAAAGAAAAGCACGAGGAAGCACGACCAGCTTGTCGCAATTAACCGCGGGCTAGATAGAAATAAGGAATCTGACCCCGAGCCGCGTAGACGGTAGAAGGTTGAGCTGATGCTGAAGAACGCGGTATGCGGCGTTTCCGCTTCCCGACAAAGGAAAAATAGTACCGTGTGAGAAACCCGACAGCGTGATAGGCGCGATACACCCACTCGACATTTAACCGCATTAGTAGCCTCTTCGCGGTCATTCTTTTCTAATTATCTAAACTAATTAGTCTTATCTCAAAAAGTTATAAAATTGACTTTGGAGTAGAATGGCGAATATAAAAACGACATAATCAGTTTGTTACGTGCATGGAAAAAATTTGCTGAAATGTCTAAAAAAGTTGCCTAGATGTAGATCTAAAAATTTGCCTAGACGTAGATCTAAAAGTAAATAAATTTGTTGGGCCAGCAAAATTATTATTACATAGAATGTTTAAATTTAATGACAGTGACTGCAGCAATTTTTGATATTTTAGCAACCAATTTAAACATTCTATATAAATATCTTGGTGACTCGACCAAATATTTTTAGATACTTCAGCAAAATCTGTTTTTCTCATGTGAGTATATTATTTGCGTGTGAATTTATCGAAGATAATTAGAGAAAAAAATATTTCGAATTTGCCACAATAGAAATTTTTTGGAAATATGGAAAAAGAATGATAATAAATATGATAAATAATCTTAATACTATTAGAGTAGAATTTATGCGTTTGCGGAGATTCTGAAGAAATACAGACGTGGCTACAGGTAGCCATACAGTGTGTGACATGTCGGATTCAATTTATGATACTCCTCCACATTAGAGCGCCGATCGTGGGTGGTAGCGGCAGGATATATTCCGCGATTTCGATCTGGCTCGTTGCCGGGATTGTCGTGCGAACCTGACCTAGGCACATGAGCTTGTTGGATAACTAATCGCGTTTCTCCATCGGTGTACATCACGATTAGTAGCCTGCCGCCTCTCAACTCCCTAACTTGCTGCTGCTAAGTGCAAATTGATTAATGGTTAGTTAAAATTGCGCTTTGAAGCAACAGGATTTGTATGCAGGCCCATATCGTCCTTCATCGCGTAATTTGTAATAATTAAGATAAGCTGCAGTACATAAATATAATTTGTAATATAACGATTTATACAATGATAGCAAAAGGTGAGGAAAGTTCGTAATAACTCTGCCAATATAGTTCCATTTTAAATGTTACTCGAGACTTTTACATTTATATTAATTAAACTATTTCTACTTTATTTAATCTAAATACGCGTTCCGCGTTTTTAGGAAAATTCGTAATGTCCTTGCTAATAGTTCCATTTTAAATATTACATATTAACTTTTAGATCTTATCTTATCTTTGTTTATAATCTAATACGTGTTCCGTTCTGTATATTATCCATAACTAATTCGTTCAGTGCTAATTTGATCTTCACACCAATTTAGATCACGTCGTAATACGATCGTTGCGGCATGCACGCGCACATTAAGGATCATTAATTGTACGGTACTTGCTCGGAAGAATCAATATTCTAACGAAGTTACGGCACGCCGGCCGTTGTTTCCACTTGGCGCCTCGCGGAATTACTTAGCATGCCGATCGCTCGAGATGCGAGACACGCAGTAATCGAAGGCACGCGCGTTCAGCCAGCGGTCGCATTTCCGCTGTGAAAACGTTCGCGTTGGATATTTCGGTGATCGTGACGTATATCTCAACGATCGACTAACGCCACGTCCGAAAATACTTTGACGTTTGTCGTAAATCCGCAACTCTTCTCTTCGTAATATTCAGGAAAAAGTACGCGAAAAGTAGAGTTGCGCGTTTCTTCGATTTTTTTGAAGAAAAGGATCGAGGAAAGGATCGAAGACACGCTTAGAGATGGAAAACGTAGTTCATCGTGATTGCAAGGTTGCCACGACCAACGGCGGGAAATTACAGCTGACGAGAAGGGAAAATAAGAGACATTACAAACCAGATATATCAGAAAGAGCTGCGCTTAGTACAACGACGTTGCGTGGAGCATATTAATTCGCGACTCCGTAGATTCGAGAGACCACCGTGGTTCTTCTTCGCGTCGCACGAAGAGGAAAGGAACCGGCTGCTGCGCGGAGAGACGGTCGAGACGGAAGCGAAGTTACCGTTTCCTCGGGCGAGATACGTAACTCCGGGAAAGATACGGAAAAACCTCGTTCTCCCGGTTATTCTGGTTTTTTTTCACTCGCGTGGCGGTAATGTTGCGGGCAGACCAGACGATTGCGCCGGCAACGACGGGAAATGAAGTCGACTGTGCCGTCGGAGGCAGGGAAAGATGGCACGAGAAATAGCCGAGTAAACACCCTCTAAGACGACGGAAGATTCATTTGACGGTCGTGTAATTTGCACTTCATAATTATAACGTTCCAGGAAATGTCACCTCCGCGCGAACGTCGTGGATAGCGTAATGCGTGTAATTTAATCCTCGCGTCCCATTATTTTAGACGAGTTAACGAGTTCCGCGTCTGCTCGTGAAGCATTTCCATTGAAAAGGATTTTATTTTCATCAATTAGGACATTACCTTCTAAGAAGCTTTCGCAAAACCTGCCAGTTATATGCGGAGAGGTCGCTTTTTAAAAGCTGCATCTCTCGCGCAGGTGCAACGTATATACTAGGTGGGAAGAAATGAAAGGCCGGAGGAGATGTAAGGAGGCTGATATCTTCGCGGTGCAAAATTGCAAATGGATCGGCGAACGTGGCGAACCAGTAAGGACCGGTACGGGCAATTTGTATGTAGGCCACGAGAAAGTTACAGGCGCGCTTTTTTCTCCTCTCGGGATATATCCGCGGTCGAACGATCGCAGGATTCCGGGCTCTCGCATCTATTGTTATCTCTCTACAATAGAAGCAAAAACTTTTTGGAGTTGAAAAAAAAAAAAAAAAAGAACGGCGAATGTAATGTCGAGTGATTTTGAAATTCTAAGAGTATATTTGATGAAAATATTCGTCGGTATTGTGGCCGTGTGTATTGTGAATCGCTCGCCAAACGGATATCGTAGATCAAATCGTTACGATCCGTCTGACGCCAAATGTACGACTCGGCATGACGTCGATAGTTCGCAGCATAGTTCGCAGCTGTTTCGATTAAGCTTCTGCGGAATCAGGAAGCGCCGGTAAACGCGTACGCATCCATACGAAACGGCGCGATGACTTTCCATTTGGATTACAAAACGTAGGCTGAACGAGAGAAATAGTAGCGCGTAAGACCTTTATTATGAAAGATGAAGATGACTTCAGTCTGCGTCGCCAATGTTTAATTCGCATTTCTTTCGGCATGCAGCGTGACCGTGAGTGCGCTTCACGCTGAGATGCCTAATGTATCTTCGAGTAAACTTATTTGTAACCATTAATGTCTAAACATTGATGCACCCTCTCGGGTTTTTCCTTTTAGAATAAATGAGCTCGTGACTCTTTCTCTCTTTCTCTCGGTGCAGACGCGCGATTTCTCTCTGGGACACTTCGTATACTGCCGCTTCGTATATTAACTCAATTTAAATTCCAAGATACTAGGCATGTTCAGATAACATCTGTCAATTTCGATTTCTTCTATAAGACTTAATTTGCTACTTGGAATTTATATATAATATCTTATATAATTATCAACGGATTATATCATCGCGTGAGATGAGAAGCCTATAAAATGTAATTATTTTATGCAAGAAGCTCAAAAATTATATTTTAAGAATCAAAGAATATATAATATCTTATATTATTATTAAAGGATATATAATATCGTCTTATTAATATAATTTTCTGAATATAAACATTTATTTATGAATAATATATTTATCCATATAATTTGCTTAGCACTAAACTCGCTATTTCTTCATTTTCTAAGTGTGGCAAGTGTTCTAACGGACGGTGAAGAACAGGTGGTATCAATCGAAGGTGCTTTCAGACAGACGGGGCGAATTTCATATGGCGGCGGCAGAGGTGAAACGAGGCATCAGGCAAGGCCAAGGTAAAGGTAAAAGGTAAAGGAGGGGCACGGGGAATGCGGGAGACTGGAAGAGAAACCATGCGCGGCGAGCCGCGCAAAAGTCAACGAACCGAAATCGGCGTGTACGCGATAACGTGCATAAACCATAAGCCATGGGCGATTTCCCCTGTAAATTTCAATAAGTCTGGTTCACGCCTACATTTTTAATCAACGCAAACGTATATTTTACCGCAACGCGCAGGAGCTTCGCACTTCTAGCATGCGTGTGTTTAACATATTTAGACACATTTTTTTTTGTTTATATACAATGCGTGACAAATGATTAAGTGTCTCTCTCTCTCGTTATATGAATTTGTAATGTAGAGATGAATATTTTCTTTCGGGCATTGTTATTTCACGTAAAGAGAATTATATAATTTGTATTTTGCCGGAACGGAAAAATCTGATTTATAGTGTTCTCTGAAATGACTGTTCAAGGTTTTAAAAGTCTAGAAGAATGGTCGTATTTATGTAACGTACGCATGGATATACGTCATAGAAAGACTCGTCGGACTTATGCGTATAGTTTGTCACAGGCAGAGGCAAATGACCGCCGCATAACTTACAGCGCGCATTCGAGTCGTCCGCGAATAAACGGAGTTAACGGTTGATCGCCTCGTGCAAGATGCCACACAGAATCAGTTTTAAGTTTCGCTTTGTGCGCCTGCCTCGCGCGACGGCCGTCGCGCCGTGTACTTCACCTTCTTAAATAATATCGCAAGTCACTGTTGTGACATACTCCCCTATTAAGTAGCATTCACGCGTCAATAATGATATAATATAAAATACACCGGGCATGTTTTTACAAAACATTACAGCACAATACCGACCGCGACATGATGAATTCGCGCGTTGAATTCCCTCGCAGAAACCGACTTTAAATTCGTTCGACGTGCTCTGTGCGATAAAACGTCTTGCACGACGATCTCGTTCTGGAGTAAATGCTACTTCCTAGATAATAGTTTCCTTCCATCAACTTGTGTTCATGAATAACGCATCGGTACGATGAGGAGCGGGACAATACGATCTCGTAGAATCGTGAATCTCGTCAACGGGGGGCAACGAGTTCGAAGGCGCCGTCACGCACGGAAAAAGAAATCTCGACCGACATTGTTCTCGCTTCAGGAACAAGCGGTGCATTCGGATCGCGTGCCAACTGCGTTTGTGCCAACGTATCGCTTAATTCACGCGCGTAAACTTTGCATAAAATCTGCCTCTCGGCGTGGCTGCGCTTGCCGCGCTGCAAGCTATGAGCGTTGCAAAGTGAAAGCCAAGTGAAGCTCCACCGGGGAAGCTGGTTTTGCTGGTGTCACGTACTGGTGAAATGCGCAAACAAGACAGATCGTTTCGTTTGTGATCCTACCTTGAATAAAAATATACAAGCCCAACAGGTGCGACAGGGCACCGTTACTTATTGCCGATCTGCCAACAAACGTCTACTTTTTGTCAAACTTTGCACAAGAGAGATTTACTACAACGAGAATACAACGACTATACGTGTATGTGTATTTAAACCAACAAAACCTTGAGAGTAATTTCGGGAAGTTGAGCCGCAAGATTGTTTTACGTTTGCCTATGCTTTTCTCTAATATAAAGAGATTTGTCCAAAGAACTATTTTTATTTGTCCTCCATGCTTGCAATTCGGGTACAGAGAAATCGTATCACTTACAGTGTACGTATGTGTACGTATGTGTGTGTGTGTGTGTGTGTGTGTGTGTGTGTGTGTGTGTGCGCGCGCGCGCGCGCGCGTGTGTGTCTGTGTAAGTATTCCAAGTTGTCGGCACCTGTAAGACAGAATGCGATCTGACGACGCGTCATCGACCTCTGGAAAGCGTCTCAGTGTATTTCCCTGGGCGAAACTACCGAAAGAATAAATGCGTGCGACCCCGTTGAACTCTACCTCATGAGCTCGTTTTCTTTTTTCCTGTTTTTTTCACTCGGTATAAATCCTTCTCCCTTACTTCTTCAGTCTCGTGTCAAACATGATCTCTATAACCCGTGGCTATCTAATCGATCTCTTAATATAAATCTGATCCAACGATAATGAAAACATTAGAACGTGAAGTTAGACTCGAGACAAAAAAATGATTTAAAAATATAAGATTGTAATTAATGACGTTGAATGATCTTCTTCTTTTTAACAGGGACGTGGCTTTTTGATGTCTTCTCTGCAAATATATTCTTGAATAAAGTATAGGTCTGAACGTTTAGTCATGCTCTGGAGAATGGATGCTGATGGGCTCCTATGAGCGGCGATGCTCCATCGTCTTCGTGACGAGGACAATTATCGGCTCGCGGAAGCGTCGGCCGCGATGATTTGCACAACGCCAGTGGACGACCGTCATTTTCCCTCCTGAATTCCATTAACGACTTCTTGGCCGGTCAGCGAAAGTGCGTTGACACGTCTCGAGCTGCGAGACGAAAGCGCTTTTCTGCGCGCGTCGCGCCGTAAAACGACGTCGCTTCTTCACCGCGAAAAAAAAATCTGCGGCGGTGTTGAGCAGCTATTTGCGCTACGTTGTAAAAATTTATAAGCTTCTCGAGTCGTAAGTAGAAAGCGGCGTATTATGCTCCCGCGGTCGGAAAAAGAGCCGTACGCGCGTGGCATGCGGGATGTCACGATTTCGTGAATAATAAGACGATAAGATTATGAGGTACATTATGACTTTCTAACAGCTCCTCGAGTAGTTATACGTATTGCTCGTTAACGTACCACCTCCACGTCATCATCTGACATAAGTGTTTGATAAATTATTTATTAATCTCAGGTTGGAAATCTTACTTTATCGCGGTCTTTTTATATTATTTAAATAACGCATTAATCGCACTCATGTCACATTTGTATTTTTCTTTTCTCAGAGATCTCGAGATACGAAGCGACATTTCACACTTGATTAATTTCCCAAGAAACTTTCTCGCAATAAATGTTATTCGACGCAGCTTCCATTAGTGATTAACGACTTTTTCGTTGTTTCTGGTAACATCTACTTTCTATGTTTATATTGCACAAGTGACATTCTCGAAAAAAAAGTGTTTACTCACTTGGCTTTGACCAACTCGGTAGGATGCAGGATCGACGTCGACCGTCAGCAACATATCTTCTACGGCACGACGTTCATCGGTCACGGGACTTCCGGGGCGAGCGTTCACGTCGCTTGACAGCAATCCGAATCGACGTCTGAATTCACCTAGAGCCATATGCTTCGGAAATCCAACCTTGTGTAAACGGACAGCGTCGATTATCTGGCTCCCGCGAATCTGCACAAGAATATTAAAATATGTGCAATATTAGATTTAGTACCGAGTCTCTTCTGAAAGAAAAAGATTAAAAAGATTAATGAAATTATACTTTATAAAAAAGTATTCATAATAAAAAAATATTTTCAATATATATCATGAAAGAAAGATATAGAATATAGAAAGATATTATATTGTTTATTGTTATCAGATTCTATTTTTTGATGCTCCTTCTTTAAAGCAATTCAACAATAATTACCTGTGATCGCAGAAGAGGTACGTTAATGACGTTATCCTCGCTCTGATTCGATTTCACGGAAAGGAGACTCTTATTGTCGGTACAACCAGCATTATGTTGAGGCAAAAGGCAGTGCACAAACTTAACGCGAGTTCTCCGCAATGTCTCTATGAGTCCATCCTGAAAATAATTAACGCTTGTCTTTTATTCCGCTTAATATAACGGAGAATATAAATAAAAACGAGATAAATAAAGAATCGCCGTATTGTTCTTACTAGATAGAGAACGAGAAAAAGAAAAAACAACAGCAGCAACACGAAGTAATACCCAAACGTCGTTATGCAGATTTCACCGAACATTTTCAGCGAGTATCTCGCATCTCGCGTCTTGTTGGGGGCGGAGGTCAATTCGCTTTAAACTAGCTTGCACAATGCTCACGCGGCCTTGCGATAATATTTTATGAAACGCGCGATAATAGCCTGATCTTTGACACCATCACGACCAATCGCAAATAGCGGCAAGAGAATAGGTCAATTATTGATGCCGCGATATTTCAAAACGAAAACTGAATCGAGAGAAATAAAAAAATAGTTAACAACTAAGCGAGAATGTTAATAGTTCAAACCAGCAGCAGGCGAAAAGAGAATTTAATTTTACTCACGACAGTGAATTTCACTTGTAGACAAACATTCTTCCTTTTTACGGCCGTGAAGGTCCTTCGTATACTCGAGGCTCGCCTCAGAGATTGCGAGCCTTCAAGTCCCGGCATAGAATTACATAGAGCACCGGAAACACCAGCACCCCGCGCACTAACAAATAACATGCCCACGTGCTCTCTGAAATTTTCATGATATACAAATATAATATATAATGAAATTTAATTATCTTTCTCGATGGAGAAAGATAATTTTTTTGGAAAATATAGGTAAATTTCGATAAAATGGATCTGCAATATTACCTTGTGCTTTCCTGAAGTATTGTAATGGCACTTTT